AAATGTATATGCACAGAAAATAAACAAATATATTAGCATATTGCATGTAAACTCAAACAAAACTTAAAATTCTAGCCGTATTTACAACGTTCGCTCGATTTTCATCGTGAAAACAGCATGGAGAAGGCAAACTGGTGACCTTTTGGCCTACCCCATTCAATGACCGTCGGCCACCCACCGCTGTTGGCGCTGTAACGATTTAGTATCTAAGTTGCATAGGGGAACAGCGAATTCTGGGTGTTCGTGTACTGAATTCGGAAAGCGGTAATAAACATCAAACATGGCTGCCGGATTAGTTTACCGCGAGTATTTGTAATTGAATAATATTTTAGTTTTCTTTCCCACGTACTTTTTTTCATTTACCCATTTTTTATGTCTAATCTTTTGAGAACATAGCAGATTCTTTTATTTTGCCGATTGCTAGCATTTTTTCTTGAATTCCAAAACAACGTGTAAATGCATCTTACCGTCCGTCGGCACGGGTGAGTACTGATGCCACAAATAAAAAATGTTATGAGTTTTATTTTGATAAATCGTCCGTTTTTGGACAAATCACCTCGTATATTTTCTACATTATAACTCGTACTTGCTCTTGGTTACTCGAATTGCATTTCATGAACGCAGAATAATTTGCGAACGTATAACTCACCGATTTCAAACTTTTTGCATTTCGTAAATATTAATAGTGACCAATCTGTTTGTATTTCAAAAAATTGTAACATGTTTCAATTAAATTAATAAGAAAATAGTAAATAACTTAGTGTGTATTGCAGTTCATGACATAAATGCTGGAATGATGTATGTAAATGACATGCAAATTAATATGCAAATTTATGCTAATTAGGCCACCCACCAGCTATTTTGAATTGTGGAGAACACTGATGTTATATACAAATAACATACTGCTATGTTCATGTATGTGTGAATTTTCTATAGTCAGTGGGTTCTTTAACAGGACTGATTTTATAGAAATCTTCAGTCAAAATGGAATTCCCAAAAATCAAGTTAAATACTAAGCTTGTATGTGAACAAAAATGTTGTGGCCACTGATTTTCTTTGTATTTACTCATTGTTTATAAAATGTGAATTTCATTTTGCCAAATTACAATATTTTTCAAGATCTGTTGCATCAGTGATGCTTGCTACAGTGAATTGGTTGCCGAGTCATATTAGAGGGCACACATACATTGTACATAATATAATGTACAAAGTTTCAAAGAAGCATACTCCTTGTACAGACTTGTATAATATGTGCTGTTATGTTAATTCTTGTATGTATGAATTTTGTATACATATAATGGTGTTCAATTTACTACTAACAATGGTTTATAAAGATTAAAAATTACTTGACTTTAATAACAGTGACAGACTACATTTCTTTTTCATGTATGCTCAAACAAAAAGAAAAATTCAAAACATCATTCATTCAATTGTTGGGTAATATCCTTAAAACTATTCCTCGCAGAACACTAATCTCGCACTTTTTTTTAATAGTATGTTTCACAGCCAGCACCAGCCACAACGGTGATAGTGACAAAGAGTTCACCAAATAACTATCTTGTGTTAGCCATCTTCTCATTACTGTGTTGCTTCTTTCCAACTGGTATTGTTGCTGTTGTTTTTGCAGCAATGGTAAGTATGATTCATGTTTGTTTGTTTGTTTTTTAATATTATTTTTTCTTCATAGGAAATTATTTACTTTGCGCTATATTATATTATATGCAGGTTTCTATAAATGTGTAAGGTTGCTTTTGACACTTTGACAATAATCTGCTGAACTATTCCAAAGTGACACCTTGTTGGGAATATTTTGGTCACCATATTGAGAAGGTATCATAATGTACCACTCATGTGTTATATTTATTCATGCCTTGTTACTATACTAATACAGTACAGTTTCGTGTTTCGTTTTTGAAAACATATAAATTTATTTATATATTATTTATAAACTATTTTCATATCTTTCTTTATCCAGGTTGATGGTGCTTGGCAAAGTGGAGATGAGGAAAGAGCACACAATTACTCAAAGAATGCTAAAATATGGAGTATTGTCAGTATTGTGATTGGTGTCATCGCCTATGTTGGAACTGTTGTATTTGTCATTGTATGGTTCGTTGTTCTTGCTGCTGCTGTTGCAGATGGTATCAACGAGGCAACACCATAGTTGAATCAACATATACTGAAATGACAGATTTGTCAGATAAAAAAACCACATTGTATATATGCAAGACTAACCGTAGTCATCAAAATATAAAAACACATTTTGCTGTTATAGTGACAACCTTCTTTTTGATGAGCTTAAAGTTTCAGTCAAAAAAAAACAAAAAACATCGTTTGTAGTGTAATTTGAAAACCTGATTAGAAGATGGGTTAAGTGTATTTACATATGACATGCGTCTAAAAATAACTCCTTATATATGTAATGTTTTTTATGTTCGTCCTCACTTTTTCCCCTTTTGACCATTTCAACTCCCCAACTTTGTAAAATTAAATCCCGAATATCACTCATGTTCATTCAATTTATATCTAAATATCTGTAGAACATTTTAGGTTAATCTTTTCATAAGGAAAAATAAAAGGTCCAGATTGTACATATACCATGCTTACAAGTCAATAGTCCCTGTTTGAATGAAAGACACAATATATATATGACCAGCCAATGCTTGTTTATGTGTAAAGTTTAAACTTGATTGATCCAGGTATGTATGAGATATGGGTGTACTGCATTCGTTTAAATAAGATGACCAGCAATCAGACATTTTTTACTCCCGTGTGCGAAGCACAAAAAGGGAGTCTTTTAGTTGCAGTTAGTGTGTCTGTCTGTGTGTCTGTTCCACTGATATCTCAAGAACCATACATTGATTTTTGATGAAACTTGGTGAATAGATGCTCTGGGCCAATGCGCAGGTTTTGGTAAAAATCCATGCATATTAATTACCTAATTTGCATGATAATTAGCTGTTCCATGATTGTTCCACTGATATCTAAAGAACCACTCATTGGATTTTGATGAAACCTGGCACATAGATACTCTGAACTAATGCCCAAATTTGATTAGTTTTGGGTAAAAATCTGTGCAATATTAATTACCTAATTTGCATAATGATTAATCAATTTTTGGCTTTTCCACTGATATTTCAAGTACTAATCATCACATTTCAATAAAACTTGGTACATAGATATCATAGGACACTGCACATACCTGATAGTTTTTAGGGTAACATCAGTACATATTAATTATCTAATTTGCATAATTAATTAATTTTCAGCTTTTGATATTTCAAGTAGTAATCACATATCAATGAAACCAGGTACATATTTACTTAAGGACTGTGCAGAGAACTGATTAGTTTGGGGGTAAATACTTGTGCATATTAATCACCTTATTAGCATAATTAGTTAATTTTTTCCATGAATGTTCCACTGATATATAAAGAACCACTAATTGGATTTTAATGAAACTTTTATAGAGTATTCATCATTAAATTTCAATGAACCTAGGACTATGCAGAGACCCAATTAGTTTTTGGTAAATATTTATGCTTATTAATCACCTAATTAAAATAATTAATTAACACTGATATCTCAATTACTGATCATCACATTTGAATACAATTTGGTACATAAATGCTCTAGAACAATAGACAGGTCCGATTAATTTTGAGTTGAAATTTGTTCATATTAATTCTCTAATAATAATTCATAGTTTTTTTGTTTTAATCACATTTCAATGAAACTTGCTACATAGATATTACATTACACAGGCCTTATCAGTTTTACTGTTATCAGTTACCTGATTTACATAATTAGTTATTCAGCTATTCCATCAATATCTCAAGTACAAGTAATTTTGAATTAATTTTTAATGTGTCTTCAATATTCTCAGCACACATGAGTTCTTTCTAAGCTTTCTTTGATTTTTAGATTTGATAGTGACAAAAATGAATGTTGGTTTGTCCAATATGATGTCTGATGTATGGGTGAAGTTTGATCGACCCAGGCATGATGTATGTATGTATCAGCAACTGCTATCCCAGCTTCATCCATGTTTTGCCACTGTTACCAAAAATAGACCCCAGAACATTTGATTCATCTGCGCTCTGTGGCGTTTTGATTGGTCAAATTTTTAATTAATTAAATTGTTTATTTACATAGTATTGCCAATCGAGTCTCACAAATCCTGTCTGCATAAAATCAAATTTTTCGATTAATTCTTTCTTCTATATATCGCTCGAATGTACCACAGTGAGCAGTTTGGTTGACGAATGTGTCGAGATATCTCGCCATTCAAGAAAGGTTGTATTATTTTCTCAAAACTTTCAGGTTGTCTCTTGCAGCCTCAGCAAAGGAGTCCACAGTAACTCCAGCCAAAATGGAAAGTCGTTCAATACATGTTTTGATGATATAGTATCACGGTTGTTTCAGTTCAATTTGAATACATTAATGCAGGATTTTAGGGGTTGACCAGATACACACATGACAGTAGTCATTAGGAGATATACTAATAATATTTCTGGAGGAGTAAATTTGTTTGCAGTTGCTATTTCTGCTGCGATTGCATCAGAATTATAATGCAACATTTGATCAATTTTCTTTACCCCAAACAACAAAAAGACTGGACTGGTTTCATGGTGTTTTATCCATCTACTGACACAACAATCCAAACACAGCTATAGTAATTGTACTTTTCTTTACTACAGACTCATTTACTCATAGACCTTAAGGGTACGATTTTCTGCAACTTTGAAAATTTTAAACAAAGAGTGAACAGAAATACAACACCAAACACCTAAATTATTCAGTGGTGTTGGAATCAGTTTACAAATACGGGCACGTAATTTATTGATTTAATGATGCTGACATAATGTCTTACATGATTGGGCGTTTTTAATAGGCTAAAGGTCAAACAATGCAAATTTATAGTGGATGGAACAGGAATCGTATAGCAAATGTACATTTGTGTACTTGAGTCTACTTTTGGTAGCGAAGTGGAGATGAAGGGAGCTTGGGTAAGAAACTGCACAGTAACTCAGAATTTGTGGAGACATATTGAGACACAATAAACGTTATGAATAGAGTCTGCAAACAAAAGTATATATGATGTGAAAGACATATCTTAACTTGTACAAAGCGTGAACCGTAGTGTTATTTTATTTAACTGTACATTAAAGAGTTGATATACAGGACAAAATTAATGTTTCAAATGAATAATGTAGTTATTTTTATATCAAAATATGTAAATACATTTAATTTTGTATGTTATATTTTGAGGTAATGTGAGAACAGATCACCTTCTAGGTTTAAAAATATTTTTACAATGTATACTCCCTAGGTTAGGTCTAGAATAAAAAGGAAAATTTTAAACTAGCCATACAAAATATATTTGTTATTTTTCATAACTAGATTTTTGTTTAAGACAAAAAAAAAAGTAATAATATGCTTATTGACCAGAAAGAAACTTGAGAACTAAGTCTAATAACTACATGTACAAGTATATTTTTGTTAACTCTGACACTATTACAAATATACTGAAACTAAAATAAAAACACGTTATAAAAAATGTTTTCAATACGATTAAAGAATTTATCATTATAATTGCAATAGGGAAGACAGTCTTCAATTCAAAATGTAATGTTCTTTATATTTTGGCAGGACAAATAGAGTATGATATATCGCAAAATCACAATTTTGTTTGGGCTGTAAAAATAGAAATATATCTTGATGAAATGAAAATGTGTTTGCAACTCAGATTTACCTATATGTATACAGGTAATTTGAAGCATGCATACACTAGTATTTTGAATATTGTCCCTTTAGCATCGTTCAAATTATAGTTTCACAAACATAATATAAACTAACATACAAATCTGTGCGAGATTCCACCTAGATGTTGTGTATTTGACCTGGGTGAAATACATAAGATATGACTAGGTGCATCTCATGCGCCAACTCAGAGTTGGAATAGCTCACACCGATAGGAAAGGTGTACAAAAGATGGCACAGTAGAATTTTCAGTATTTGGTAGCAGTGAAATTTCACTTTCAATGCCATTAAATCATCAATTCATGAATATTCAACTTAATTATTAAACAAGCAGCCTGTCGGCTGAGATATCTCCGCTGTTAGCAATGCACATTTCAATTAAAGAACAGAAGATATCATTAGAAAATGAACAATATGTATAGTATCAAAGCAATGTGACTTGCTGTTTTCAACAAGAATTCAAAAATATCATTTTTCACCATAAATGATTGTGGTTTTTAACCAGTCGAAAATATCACTTTTTACCAAAAATGACAAAAATATTCATCAAAATTAGAGAATTTAAAATATCATGAAATGAACAAATTTGAGAGTGGTCCACATGTAGTACCTATATATGAAATATCAAAACAATTGGACTTGTTGTTTTTAACAAGAAGTCGAAAATATCACTTTTTACCAAAAATGACAAAAATGTTCACCAAAATTAGAGAATTGAAGATATCATTACAAAATGAACAAATCTGAGAGAGGTCCACTTGTAGTACCTATATATGTAATATCAAAGCAATTGGACTTGCGGTTTTTAACAAGAAGTCGAAAATATCACTTTTTCCAAAATTAGAGAATTGAAGATATATATCATGAAATGAACAAATCTGAGAGAGGTCTACCCAAGGTACATATACACCAAGTATCAAAACATTCAGGCTTGTAGTTTTCAAGAAGAAGTCAAACAAGCAGCCTGTCGGCTGAGATAGCTCCGCTGTTAGCAATGCACATGGCAATTAAAGAACAGAAGATATCATTAGAAAATGAACAAATCTGAGTGAGGTCCACATGTAGTACCTATATATGTAATATCAAAGCAATTGGACTTGCGGTTTTTAACAAGAAGTCGAAAATATCACTTTTTACCAAAAATGACAAAAATATTCACCAAAATTAGAGAATTAAAGATATCATTACAAAATGAACAAATCTGAGAGAAGTCCACATGTAGTATCTATATATGTAATATCAAAGCAATTGGACTTGCAGTTTTTAACAAGAAGTCGAAAATATAACTTTTTACCAAAAATGACAAAAATATTCACCAAAATTAAAAAATTAAAGATATCATTACAAAATGAACAAATCTGAGAGAGGTCTACCCAAGGTACATATACACCAAGTATGAAAGCATTCAGGCTTGTAGTTTTCAAGAAGAAGTCGAAAAAATAAAACATTGACACGGACGACGACGACGGACAATCACTCATATGATAAGCCCCGCTCGACAAAGTCGACAGCGGAGCTAAAAAGTAAAACATTGACACGAACGACGACGGACAATCATTCATATGATAAGCTCTGCCCGACAAAGTCGACAGCAGAGCTAAAAATAAAATAATGTTTCGGGTCAGCATTTACAGTTACATACCCAAAGTAATCCATGTTTCTAATGTATTCCCACATTATCTGACACTGTACAAAAAGTTTATTTACATTAAGTCAATATAAAGTATAATAGTAGATAAATAAACAGTTTCATTCTTATTCATGTCTTGAATATACAGACATATGTGTGAAGAATGAGTTGACTGTTTCATTAAATATTTTTTGACATTTACATGATTCTCAATTTAAGTATATTGGGTCAGTGTAAGTTATGAATACATGTATGTTAAGGTCACACTGACAGTATCACAAATACATAGATAATGACAAAAAGTATAGAAATTACAAATGACGCAATGCCACAGCCAATAGAAATATACGACAGTTTCCTGGCACTATCAGAGGCTTCTTTTGCACCAGCATAGTCACCTCCATTAAAACTACTTCCAACCTGAAAATATAATTAGAACATTATTACATAACTGCAGTATGAAGAAAAAGGTACATTGCAATTAACTCATCAAAACAACTTTGCTGCTAGTTCATAAAACAAGCAGCCTCTCGGCTGAGATAGCTCCGCTGTTAGCAATGCACATTTCAATTAAAGAACAGAAGACATCATTAGAAAATGAACAATATGCATAGTATCAATGCATAGTTTTCAACAAGAATTCAAAAATATCACTTTTCACCAAAAATGACAAAAATATTCATCAAAATTGGAGAATTGAAGATATCATCATACAAATGAACAAATCTGAGAGAGGTCCACATGTAGTACAAATGTACCTATATATGAAATATCAAAGCAATTGGACTTGCGGTTTTTAACAAGAAGTTGAAAATATCACTTTTTACCAAAAATGACAAAAATATTCACCAAAATTAGAGAATTGAAGATATCATCATGAAATGAACAAACCTAAGAGAGGTCTACCCAAGGTACATATACACCAAGTATCAAAGCATTCAGGCTTGTAGTTTTCAAGAAGAAGTCGAAAAAGTAAAACATTGACACGGACGACGGACGCCGACGGATGACGCCAGACAATCACTCATATGATAAGCTCCGCTCGACAAAGTCGACAGCGGAACTAAAAATTATCATCAAATATTCTTAGGGGGCTTATATTTTCATTGAAAAATCCACCTACGCTGACTTTCAACACAGACACAGTTGGACCACCCAGAACGAAAGAAACTAAAATTGCATACATTTTTTTCTAGCTGGATTAATAAGTAGACAGCGCATCTTTCTCCAAAAAAAATCACATTAACGAACATTGTGCGGCAAATACAATTATTTGTTTCATTTTATTGGTAACAAAAGTATATTCTAAAAAACGTTTCAAATAACAACAAACACAACTGCATTGCTTAGTAGCGAATGATTGTGGTAGCGCAATCCGGTCATGCTGCGTTTTACAATTGTTGATTATTACCTAGTAATGATTATAATAACGTGCAAAAAATAAATATGTTGAATTGTTATGAAATGCAAATAAATTTCAACTAATTTCATCGTAAGCAAATGATTCCGAACGCATTTTCAACGCTTGATGCTGTAGAAATAAATATCCGCCATGTTTTGACAGGTTAAATCGATAATTAACCAATAAAAATGATGGATGATGCCAACGTGTTCAATTTACCATAATACGTTTAAATATGTTAATGTTATTGAACCCAGCATGGAAGAGATTTGCCGATGTTGTTGTACAATCTTTTGGCTTGGATTTTGATGGGAAAGCGGCATGATTTGTTTTTAAATAAAAAAAATTGTTGTTTTCAAAAGATAAACTGAGCATTTGAAGAATAATTTAACATTATTTACAGCGATAACAACTCATTGTCGAAACGAAGCTAACCCATTCACGCTAGTCCGTAGTAGTCGCAATAAACAGCAATACTCTAGTCAATGTCTACGGCGATTATTTTGCATTCCACAAAGCTTTTCTTTCTGATAAATACTGGTTTTCCTGTACCCGTTACCAAGCAACATTTGAATCAAGAACATTTTGTACTTTTGACTAGTTGTGAAGCAGAAACTAAAATTACATGACAGGATATTAGTTAGTCTAGATAAAAATAACTTACAACTTACAACACACATATATGCAACTCAAGACTTCTGAAAGTACTGATCTCAACTACACATGATAAAAACTTCAAAAAAACTTCAAAAAGAGATAATACAACTTTAATTTTCATAAATAGAGTTACAATGACTTTCCTGAAATACATACTGTATCACCTTAAGTAATTAAATGCTAAAAATTGGAAGTGGCAGTATATAGGCAAATTTCATGTAAACAATGCATTGTCTACCTCATGGAATATATGACGCAAAGTGATAAGTATGACTGTGACACTTCGATTTTCTGATCAATATCTTTTATGAAAAACATAAACAAACCATGTACACACACATATACATACACACACACACATAGATAAAGACAAGTTAACCACAAAGACTCAAATTGTGTGATTCACAAACAGTCAACAGGAAGAAATATATAATATACTACAAATGATGATATAAACTCTCACCTGTGATGCTTTAATGATGGCAAATATACCAATAGGCCAGCAACAACAGATAGTGGCAAAAATAGCAAGACCCATGTAATCAGCTGGACGAGATTGAGTAATTGTTGTCATGGTAACATTCTGTCCTGGTTGATACTGAATAAAGAGCAAAAAAACATAATGATGAAGCATTTACTTAGTTAGATACAATCACATTGTGTCCTGTTGATTTGTTTTTTGTACAGACATGACCAGTCAAATTGAACATGCTATGACTCCTATACGGCTTTGAACAGAATAACTTCTGTCTCTTAGTCTATCATTACATCACTACAGAATTTGCCCCCATGCATGGCTAGATTGAATTCATAGTTGGTGTGGTGATATGAATATAGATATATAAATTATGCAAAAATAGAAAATAGTGAACTTTGAGGTCATGCTGTGCCATTTTGATAGCCGTTAGAGAGATGAGCGGACGCATTTGAATTAGTAGTATACCAAGGTATCCAGTGATGTAATTTTACCCACAAACGGACTTGAAGTTTTTAAGCTAATTTTTTTTAAACCACTTTTGCCCAAAAAAACATATTTTTGACCCAAAATCAAAAACGCATTCTGGATATTTAAAATAAAGACAAGTTTTACAAAGTTTGTATAATAAGCTTTCAGAAAATATATAACATGTTGGATATATAATACCATCTTCATTGTCTAATTACTCAATTAAAAAGCAAGCCAAATAAACTGCATCTCTACCTTAAGTTATAGCATACAAGTGCACATCACTTTGTTGCCCGATTGCATTCAATATGGCCGACTGGTGGCCACTTTTATTTTTCTATACATAATTGTATCTTGTATTTAAGAGAGTTGGGGGAAAGAATGTACAATAACTGATTTGTTGTTCAAGCAAACTCAGTAGCTAACTTGAGATTAATTAAATAGTAGAACTTGAAATTGTATATGAAACTATTTTGAAGGGTGTCAAAGAATTCAGAGGGAATAGGGGACTTTCCTTTCACTATTTTGAAGGGTGTCAAAGAATTCAGAGGGAATAGGTGACATTCTTTTCACTATTTTGAAGGGTGTCAAAGAATTCAGAGGGAATAGGTGACTTTCCTTTCACTATTGTGAAGGGTGTCAAAGAATTCAGAGGGAATAGGTGACTTGGTTTTAAATTTTATTTTTATAGCTCAATGTCAAAATGCCGATATTTGAGAAGGGGATATTGAGTTAAGATACATGTACTTTATATTTATTACATTAATAATACCCCCATAATATTTTACACATTTGTCAAATCACATGTGATGTTTTGATTTCACTACAATGCTGCAACCTTTGTTCATCCTAGTTTTACATTCCATTCCATTTCACACATAACGCAGGATCTTGTGTTGGATGGAAAACATGTAACACATAGTGCAAGCAGCACTGAAAAAGTTTATTAAGTAATATAATCAAAATGTTACATATAAAAATCATTTTGATTAATAAATAAATCTTGATTACCGCAGTGAGACTGCAATGGAATAATCAAAGTTGATTGTCACTTAGAATATTTGCAACACAAGTGACAATCAACTAAACTATAAGTCATTTCAGGCATTTTATAAATAATATAACTTCTCTGCTTATTTTATTACAAATGGTGGCCAAAGCATATCACAATGGTTGTATGATCTATGGATTGACTACTTCTGAAGAAGATTGTGTTTTATGTTGTTTTTCGGTATAACCATTAAGGCAATACAGGTCACAGAAGTGAATCATTATTTTAGCTGCATTTTCACCAATATCATGATAAATATGATTTGATTCATGAAATAAATTCTCTAATTTATGCATCACTCTAATTTAGGCATCAGGGAAGAGTGAAAGGCCTTTAGTTTGGGCGCAACAAAAAATTTAAATATTTGGATAATATTTACAGTATTTTGGTCTAACAGATGGACAAAACCCAAATAATCAAGTGTGACTAGGAAAATAATGACAGATAACTAACCATGACATTGGTAATATTGGTAGATGCATGCAATGATTGACCATAATTTGGAGGTGGTTGAGCTGGATAACCCTGACCTCCAGGGGCTGTAGCAGGATATGGTGGTGGTGGTGTGCCATAATCAGCTACTTGCAGTGGTTGTTGTTGAAACTCTGCCTCTTTGGAATAACCTGCAACAAATAACACATCAAAGTTTACAAAAAAAAAATCAAAATAGAGTGATAAGAAAAACAAGCAGCCTATCGACTGAGAAAGCTCCACTGTTAGCAATGCACATTGCAATTAAAGAACAGAAGATATCATTAAAAATGAACAATATGTATATGTATAGTATCAGACTTGCTGTTTTCAACAAGAATTTGAAAATATCACTTTTTACCAAAAATTTGAAGAAATCAGATCTGTGCATTACCCAAAAGCACCTATGTACCAATAATTGAAATTTGATAGTGGCACTCAAGACATCAAATGTGTATATGGCTTATCAGAGCACCCATGTACCAAGTTTCATTGGAATCTGGTGAGTGGTTGAGATAATGGTGGAAAAGCTAAATTGGCTTGTAGATATACAAATTAGATGATTAATATGCATGGATTTCAATAAAAAAGCATCAGGTGTGTACATTATATCAGACCAATAATAATATGCAAATCAGGTGATTATTATGCACAGATTTCAACAAAAAACTAATCACGTTTAATTATTATCCAAGAGCATCAAACTTCATTGAAATCTGATAATTGATTCTTGATATAGACATTGACACACACGACATACATGTACATGTATACAGACACAGACACACAAACCACAAAGAAAAGTAAAGACCACTTGTCGCTGATTGGTGGGTAAAAGGTTATCTCAGAACAGCATTCACTGTATTAGCTTGTCAATCATTAAACCAAGACGGCAACATTCAAAAGTGATTTCACAGTCGAAAATGCTTTTTCCTTTGACTCTTGAGTGCTAATTCTAAAGGTGATATTTATTAAATCGGACAAGTAAAATATCTCTGTTCACAGCGGGCTGTTTTTTTAAAGGTAATTAGTGTTTGTAGCCACACGTAACTAAGGAGTTAGTGTCTTCCCTCCTCATACCTTCGGTTCTTGCTGTAAGGGCTTGCAGATGTTACATCAATGCCTCGGTAATACTAACTTAGAAACGTTACAAGACCCTGTGATGTTCTTGATCATTTTGGCAGAACGTAGAACAATAGACATTAGAAGTTAGAACACAAAACACTAATTCGGAACTCCCAATGGCATATTGTAGTAAAGCCGCAGTTTATGCAAACCTCAATCGGCAGGACTGCAAATTTTGGCTGCTTGAGGGCGCTCCACTCATGTACAGATTGACATGAATTGAGGTATCTGTTAACACGATAAACAGAAATGGTCATATTTTGTCATAATAAAGGTGGGAAAATACATAATTTATATATAATCGGTTCAAATTTTCCAATAGCCCAGTGTCTTATCAGTACTCGTACCTGGGTCGGACAAGATATTTTGAGGTAACCGTAATAATATTTATTAACTCCCGGGGAAGATAACAATGATCATACATCACAAAAAAAATAAAGAAAGAAAAAAATATACATGTATATTAATGCTCTTAACTCATTCAAGACAGTCAGGTATTAATAAACTGAGCTATGGGAAGTGACATGTTTGTTGCTCATAATGGAAATAAATTTATCACTCTCACTACTGCTTCTAAAATTATTTACAATAATTTCTGCTCTGTTAAATAAATGCTGTCTATGTGCCCTGTATGCTGGCAATTCATAACAAACTTTTTCATCTTCAACTTTGTTTTGTGTACATTGGTCACATATTCTAAAATTAACTGCAATCTGTTTATGTCTGTCAGTTTAAATTTTAAGACATTATGATTACTGTAGAATACTTTATTTTCGCTTGGAATTTATTTTCGCTGTTTTCGCTGAAGGAATGATTTCGTGAAAATAAAATCCAGCGAATATACTTTTTTTCCAATATTTCACATTAAACTCATCAAAAATCAGTGAAAATAAATTCCATACAAAACGCCCAAAAATCCTTTTCAGCGAAAATTAATTCCAGCGAAAATACAGTATTCTACAGTAAAAATCATCTAAAATCATACATAGCTGAATTTTAGTGATATCAACAAGATAGTTTTCAGCTTTAAACTTAAACATTCTGTATGTCCTCAACTTATTAGAAGAACAAATTTGCTTTCTAATGTCATTATGGATATCATTTTAACACTGTTTTTCAAATAATTTATTTAATTTCTTGTGAACTTCGTTCATGCATGATGTTAAAAGCAATATCTCACTTGAAGATATAATTTGGTTATATTCGGTATTCTCAGGCATCCTTCAATAATGTCACGGTATTCAATGAATTATTATTACTATTAAATGATTTAATTAATTTTTTTTTTCAATGAATATGTCAACTGAGTATCCCCCCCCAATTCACCATAGATTGCCATTTTTGTTGTATTTTTAGAGATGCCAAATACATATCTGTAGAATAAAAGATGAACTTCCTCAATTGCTGATTTTATAGTACTTTCATCACCCCGTACATCACTGCCATATGTTATAACTGGTCTTATAAGCTTATCATGATTTTTAGGCCGCTAAAATATCTGTGTATTATGTTTCCTGTCTTGTAATTATAGTGAAGGCTGATCAACCAGTTGATCAACACGAATAGATCGTCAGGCCTCTGTCACCCTTCGATGTCTCTGTGAAGTTCGAAAGCAGACAATTGTTAACAAAATAGCGATTATGAGTGTGTACTTCATACCTTGAGTCTCCATTAATAGTAGATCAACAGTCTAACAGTTGTAAATTGTAGTAAAACAGAATGACGCAGTAGATTTGTCGCACAGCAATCCAACGACTGAAAGGTTATACTTCAATATGTTGCTCAAAGTAATACACATCCATATGACGTCACTGCTACCTCTCTCTGACCTTCACTTTCCAATTCCGTGGACTCCCTAGACTCTCGGTTATTCACAGACGTTAAGGGAAAAGTGTTAGATTAGTCACAGTCCCTAGAGGTACTGTGGATTAGTGATGCCACGGCTGTAGTGATGCATTCTGTTTTGAAAGATTTGTAGAGTAATGTGCTAGTTCCATCGGTAACTAGCTTTTAGTTAAATAATTATTGATAGAATAATATACGTAATAAATATGCACAAAAAGTGGTTACCGTGTGTTAAGCCACTATTTTGGTATTTGCCACTATTTTGGTACCCGCGAAAATTAAAACCAACGTTCTCTTGCTCTTTGTTATTATTTTTCTTCACAAGTCAATAAATCTCATAATTCTGAATAATTCTGGACAGTTTGTGTATAATTTGGAGTAATTTGTTGTGTTTAATTTAAGTTTTCTTTACTTGCGCATCTTTTCAGCCCGAATTGTCATCTTTTTGACGCAGACACAGTGACGCTAACTTAGGGGGTATTACAATCGGCTGTCCTAACAGCCATATCGCGGAGCTCAATTCAACTGTCGTACTTTTAAAAATCAATTGCATAGCATATCCGTCGCCGATTGAAATGGTGTTAGTGCATCGAAACTGTTCGGCGAAGCTGCTAGGTAAGTATATGACGATTCAATACTAATATTGATATTTACTAGCTAGCTATCGCACTATGACTTGTTTAGTGTGCCTGCTCAGACTGCTGCGGCGTCTCGAGTCGTCCATTTGATTCTATCATCATCATCATGTTGTGTTCAATTCCAATTTCGAATGTGCATCGATTTCTCAAAACAGTAATTTATAGACATGTATATAGTTCATCTGATCCAGAAAGTGATAGTTTAAACTTCATGTACATGTCCAGCTTGAATTTAAATAATCTATATGCGGACGTTGAGCAGCGGACAACACAGAGCCACCGA